GGTTCGGTGGTTTCAAATGGGCACCCTGCTGAGGGATGGTGCTGTATAGGCGTCGGACTCTTTTTTTTGTAAATGTGTGGGCACCCTGCTGCGGGATGGTGTTGTATAGACGATGGACCCTCTATTTGAGATGCACCGCTTGGTCACGGCAAAGTATCGATTGGTGACATTACTCGCGACTAGTTTTACCTTTTTAATTCGCGGCCCGAACTACTCAAAAAACGTTTCAAGAAACTAAGCAAAAACTGAAAAAAAAACTGCGTGAAGAACTATGTCTGGAGACGCCAGAACACGGGTTTTTATACCCTTTTCTTGGGATGGATCCATTTGGAAAATCTTAGGTTTTTGAGGCGGGGATCGAATAGGAATTAGTCTTGCAAGAAGATTTTTAGTGCGGAAGAGGATGGCGTCATTTTTAGCTAATAGGATTGGGTTTAGGTAATTAGCTTTCTTGAAATGGGGGTAGGAAGAAAGAGGCCCTAACGAATAAGGAGTAGCGTCGTTTCGGGTCCATATACGATGGGGGTAGGTTTTTGAGGTGGCGTAACCCGGTTGGTGTTAATTAGCATAGATGGGGTGCATCTCAGTGTCTTAAAGTCTGGGTGGGCGTAGTCTTTAGACCATACGATGGAATGATGGGTGGTTTATAGAGGTGCTTGCCCCGATTCCCGGCTTTCGGATTGGAGGGTTAAGAATCGGTATATAAGTTCGCATGGCCTTGGATCACTGATCTAATAAATTTGACAGTTCACGACTATCACGTGCTCTTGGAGTCGCGTAGAGAGTGCGACTAATGCATCTCGGTTTCCCAGACCTACTGAACACGTGCGCCGTATCAGGTGTAGCGCCTTCTCGGCGTGCGACTGCGGTTATTGCCCGATCGTTACTCGGTAAAACCCCTATCTATTAGCTACGGTTTCCGTAGGTGGAATCCAAGAATATAGCTAGCTGATGGCCAGTTTTTCTTTTTATCTCTTACTCTGAATGTCTGGAGTCGGCTAAAGACTCCAGCTACCGCAAAGTTTTGACTTTTACGATTTTTCTGACGACGATAGGCACGCTAAGCGGCCAAGGTAATTTGAAATATCCATGCCCCCCTTGCTATTTTTCTCTGTGAGAAGGCTCAAGCTTCTGGTGTCTCGTAAAAAAAAAAAACAGCTCTGGCGTTATAATATTCTTTAAGAGTTTTTGTTGGTCCCGCGTTTACTAGGTCTGGTATTTAATGAAAAGAAAAGAATCGTGAAGTCTGATCAGGACGTAACAATATATTTAGCTAATGTTATAATTATTTGCATGTTTATTCAGTTTCCGTCACATGAGTTTTGCTTATAGAAATGACACATATTTGAATGATTTGCGCGCATTTAATAATTTAAATTTATAATTGAAGAAAAACATTAAGTAGAAACGTAGGTAAATGGCATATGATAGTGTGATAAAAACTTTTATACTTATAAAATACACGTAAATAATTATTTAGCAAAATTATGTTTCATTTAATTATATTATGCTAACATTCAGTGCGCCCACAAAAAATTTATTTCTTAAATGTTAGGCTACAAAAAATACTAAATTTATTTCTGCACGTAATTTAATTTGTCATATCAAACAAATTTATTTCTAGAAATAATAGAATGGCATCGAGAGCCGTTGCAGGATGTCAGTGCTAAATTTTTAATTTATTTTCATAAAGAATTTTTAATAAATTTGTTTACAAGAGACAGTTAGATTGTACACCGATCTCATATCGAGATACCTAATGTGTACGAAATTATAAGTATATTGTTCTCATATATCGAGAAACATTAACTTACATATAGGAATTATTGGAGAGAAATTGGAGAGAAAGAAATTTATTTCTATTTTCTCTTGTATCAATATTTATTTAATTTTATGTAATAAAAAATTTCTACAATTATTCTAAGTTTCCAAATATTTAACATTTTTGCAATATAAAAATTATCTGTTATTTTTTTTTAATATTTCCACAGATACATTTTGCTTTGAAGTACTGCAAAAGTTAATATTTCAGAACTCATTTTCTATGCAACATATTTAATTATTATCTTTTATAGAAAATGCGGGATAGTCTTTTCGAATCTATTAAACGTTTTTTAATTTCATAAACCGCATTGTAAACATAAAAATTATTTGATTAAATTATTCGACTATAGACTACAATGACAATAGTACAGTGATAATTGTATTTCAATTACACAGATTTGCAAAAGAAAACATCTGTTTTCTAGTAAAGATGCGTTTAAGATAACCCTGTACAAAAAATTAACAAATATAGACGAATAAAATGTAAAAGTATATAATTAATAACAAAAGTTGAGAAAATCAATTTTGAAAAATTTGTTCTTTCTTTTTTACATGTTATTTTTGTAAACTTGCTAAAATACTTACAATAATGAGTTGCAGTTACGTCAAAGTTAAATATTCTTATCAAAGCACTCCAATATTAAATTGTAAAGTATATGTTACTTTGTCCATTAATCTAACTTATCCACTTTAAAGCAAAGAAAAAAGACAGAAAAGAAAGACATAATGATTCGTTATATTAATAGTATTCTTACATGTTTTTATTAAAAAATGATTAATTTGTGTACTTGTGTTACGGGTATCTCGCATGCGACTCGAAGCGAAGTGACAACGTTGAAAGCGTCGATAAACTGGTTTCAACAATTTATAAAAACAGCTTGAGGAATGCTGTAGAAAAATAGACCTGATTTCCATATACTTCCCCGATAAAAAATTAATAAATAAAACTTCCATTACTTTTTACCATCCAATAGATTAAAAATTTTTCAAAATATTTTCGGGAATGTTGCAAAATAAAACACATTGTGCATAATTTGTAACGAATTATAACAGTGGTGAACATTTGCAAGAAGCATGGAGCCAGCGACTGCGGAGTCGAGGTGCGAAATGTTTGATCAGCACATCACTGAAATGCAGGACGATGACCACTGTACACTACTGTAACTGCGAGAGCAATGCAAAGAGAGTGATACGCTCCAACCAATCGTTTCATATTCGCAAAGACAGACACTACTCGAAATTTTTTCTATTTAAAATTTAATGCGGACAAATACCCCCTTTCGAGTAAATAATATATATTTTTTATTTTCACGGAGCAAATTCTAATGAGTCACTCGCATACACCGAACTTTCCACGATCAAGGCTGTCTCAAGTCAGTGGTAACAGCTCGTGTTTACAGGCCGCATTTTATTATGATCAACAGCGGTTATCGAGATTCACGACGGCTCTTCTACGATTCTCAAAAACTGTTTCTAGAATACTCCACAAAATATTATTTATCAAAATAGTTAAACGCAATGAAATTTTGCATAAGATGCATCAAGTGTAACAACGATTTATTTGATTTGGTGTCTTTTTCGATACCGATGCTTTTTTATATCATAATGACTGGTTCACATAATCGGAATCGTAGGTTTCTTATTTTGGTCATAATATGAGGATTAATGCATAAATAGTATATAATATTCGTAAAAAAAGATGCAATTTTCTGTAAAAAGAGATTTTTCCGAAAAATAATCACAATACAAATTTTTAAATATAAATAAATAAAAATTTTTAAAACAATAAAAAGTTCTAAGAATTAGAAAAAGGTGAAGAGTAAGTTGACCGAGATTTAAGTTAATCTACGTTGGTGGAATCGGGCATTATTGATGCTTTTTTATATCAGAATTAATGATTCTAATAATCGTAATTGTAGTTATCTTGTTTCGATCCAAATACAAAGATTAATGCATATATAATATATAATATTCGTATAAAAAAATCATACAATATTTGTAAAAAAAAATTTTTTCGAAAAATGATCACAATAAAAATTTTCTTTAGTAAGCTATTCAAAAATGCAGGCGTAATTAAGTAAAAGTCAATATTTTTTATTTTTATCAATTTTTTATTATAAAATAGTAATATCGATATGTTTATGAGGATTCGTAATTATACAAAAAAATTATAATATTAAATCTTTTTTGCAAATATTATTTCTACATGTCAAAAAAAGAAAAAAAAATCATTACATATGCATCCAATTATAAAACCATTACATATGCAAATAAAATGCAACTTGTCAAAAATTTCAGACAAATGCACGGTCTTTGTTTCGTCCTTTCGTTTTATTGTATGTGTGATATTATAAATTATAAATTATAAATAACGTAATAAATTAACATTAACATCAATATATTGCACACAAACCTCATTGCGGAAAAGATGAAATAGCATAGATGAAGACAAATATTTCATTATTTTTCTTCAAATGTTTTATTCCATATTTTGTTTAAAACATTTTTCAAGTTAGATAATGAACAAATGAATAGATTGCAAATTAAAGAATAAAATTTGAATTTTCAGAACAAAATGTATTAAAATTGAAATTATATAATTGGTATGATTTTAATTTTTTGTAAATTTATTCTCTGAAGCATAATCTAATGTGAATCTCTGATGTGACTCATAATACAACAATATGCAATATCTTTCATGAGAAAGATTTATAATTTCATGCACTTTTGTTATGCTTGCGTCACTTGCAAGTGGAATGTAATGATAATATAACAATGTAAATTAATAAAATTGATTTGTTATTCCGTTCCAAGTTTATTCCAATTTTCTTAGCTTGTTTTTGATTTACGATGTTTGGTTACTTCAATTTCTTTTAAAATTGCAACTTATAATTAAAAAGTATTTTTATCTACTTCTATTTTTTCTACTTCTATTTTTACTTTATATCAAAAACTTTAAATGGCGAGAGAGGTAAAAAACTTATAAATAAAATATGTACAAATAAATTGATGATGTTTAAGCAGCAAACTTAACAAAATATTTTATAAATCATTAAGAAACTTCCAAGCTAAGATTATGATATTATATTCCATAATAAATTGAGACAATGTATTAAAAGATTCGGAAATAAATGCGCAATTTTATATTGCTATAATCAATGTAACAATTGTTTTTATCAGTAAATTCGGCCAACTACGCGTATTTCTTTGATTAGTATTATTTAATATCGCTACTATTTTATATAAGTAAATAATTAAATATATAATATTTTTTAAAACATTATTTATTTAATGGATACCTTGTAACACGTCCTACACAGCATTGTTATTATCATAAAAGTTGACGAATGAGATGCTACCGTATCTCCTGTTATTTATTAGATACGTTTAACTGACATATTAATATTTACATTGAAATGGAAAACTATACGTATTTCTTCGTCCTCCTGTACCGTACTCAGTTATCTGCGTCCTGTAAGTTGAAACGGACACAATGTCAGAAATTAAAGTAACGAAAGAAAACGTGTGGCAATATTGCGAGAAAGTGTCGGATTATCAAGCAAAATGCAGGATTTGCAGACAAAAATATATTTACGTCGATCCAAAATTTCGTGAACATACAAAAGATAGACATCCTGAAATATTCAAATACGAAGAAACATGTAAAGGACGACAAGAATGGCCATGGATATGCTTCAAGTACAACGATACTTCGACCTCACAATGTCTTCTCTGTCGTCAAAATTTTCAACCTGATTTTCAATCTTTAGCATCTCATCTACACCAGAAGCATTTTAACGAAGTGAAGAATTACGTACTTCACGCTTGGATATGGAAATATTTTAAGAAAAGTAGTGATTTCCAATTGAAATGTAACGAGTGTTCCGGCAAATATAGTATGATTCTCAAAAAGAATTTAAGTAATCATATAGTAATTAATCATTCGGAAGAATTAAGATATGCGCAAGAAACACGCGACGTAGTTCATTCCTCAATATCCGTTTGCAATTCAAAGGTTATTGAAGTTAAAGAAAACATGTGGGAATATTATTCAAAATTGCCGAATTTTCGAGCAAGATGCAAATCGCAAAATTGCACCTTTGAATGTCATTATATTTCTCATGTACTCCTTCTTGTGCACATAGACGAAAAGCATAAAGCAATCTTGGAATGGGAAAACGAACACATAGATCAAAAACCATGGATGTATTTTAAGTATTCGTTTGAATATATTTCCGATAAAAAGATACTATACTCAGAATGTCTCATATGTGATGAATTCTTTCTGGTTGATCGTGAATCTACAACGACACATATGTTACAGAAGCATTCTGAAGAAGAACTACGTAATTTTATAGATAATCCTTGGATGATGAAATATTTTATACAAAGTGATGACACTACAGAGTTCAAGTGTACTATTTGTTGCAAAAACATAACCATTAATATTAATTCTGTATTGTCTGATCATATAATTGAAAATCATCTGGAAAAATTGCACTTGAATATCTCAACAAAAAATAAGGAAAAACTGGACCAAAATTATACGTTGCAGGATTTTCAAGCAAAGTGCCGATTTTGCAACTTTCAATCTTGTTACGTCAATACAACAAACTTTACTGAACACGTAAAAAAAGAGCATGAAGAAACATACAATCATGAAGCAGCACACGAACACACATATCCATGGATGTACTTCACGTATTTTACTTCATATTACTTACAATGTCGTTGCTGTGATAAAGTTGTTGAGTGTATTTATGATTTTTTAACAACGCACTTGGACGATCATTCTTTTGAGTCTTTTCTTAACACATCATTTCGCAAGAGTGGCTGGGAAAGGAAATACTATACACAAAGTAGTGATTTTGAGGTGCAATGTAATATTTGTCGCAGCAAAATATCTCTTAACATTCCGTTATGGTATTTCGATCGTCACATTGCAACTACACATCCGAACAGGCTGACAAGTACACAGAGAACGCATGACATAGCTGGACCTTCAGGAAGCCAGCCAAACTGAAGAAAACAAGTAATAATTTGTTTTATTAATATTATTGTCAATATTTATGTGTATAATTAATATTTTTCAAATTGCATTTAATTTAATAAATATGTAGTGAAAAGAGCAATAACCAGACAATTTGTTTTTCATAAATATTAAATTCTTTACATAGGTTTATCCAGAGTTTAACAATGGGAGTGATAGTAACAGCGTTCAAGTAGGACTACAATCGACGAAAGCAATCCTGATTTAAGAAATCTAAAGTACACGAAAAAAATGACTTAATTCTGAAAATAGATGATTAAAAAAACACATGGTTTAAAAGGTCGATAACGATTTAAAAAGATTTGTTTTAAAACTTTTGTATTATAACATTATGTTATATCATTTATTAATTTTTTATTTCTTTGGTTAATAACACAATGATAATTTAATTACTTATTGGACAATCAATTAATTCTTTTAATATTTACTGACATGTTTTTTCAATTATTCATTTTTAATATATTTGTATGGATTAAAACTACTTAAAGTAATTTTTAATCTTATGTTTGTTTAAAAATGTATAGTTATTTGAAGATTAAAAGATAAATTAACCTTAGTTAAGTTAATTAAGATAAAAGAAGTTAATTAAAAGATAGAAATAAAAGTGAGAATAATAGGAATAATAGTAAAAAAACTTAATAAAATGTTAATAAAATTAAACATATTATATATATAATGTAAGAATATATATAAATAGTGTGCGAATTCTTTAAAGTATTACAAACATCTAAAAAATTGTGCCATTTTATTATTTTTATATAATGCACATTTAAAAAATTTTTATATATTCAACTAAATAGCGTAATAATTGTTTGCATGTTTATTTAGTTCCCGTCACTTGAAATTTACTTATAGAAATGACACATATTTGGATGATTTGCGCGCATGTAATAATTTAAATTCATAATTAGAAAGATAATATTAAATAGAAACTTGGATGAATATTGGATAAATGCTAATATTCTGTACGCTGTTAAAAAAAATTTTTTTTTAATGTTAGACTACAAAGAATAATTTTATTTCCGTATATAATTTAATTTAAATTACGTACGTCATTTAAAATATATTTGTTTTTATTTTTTGTTGTGTTTTTTTTTTTCTTTAATTTTATGTAATTAAAAATTTTCTCAATTACTGTAAGTTTCGAATTATATAACATTTTTTGCAATATAAAAAAAATCTATGTTATTTTTTCTTCAATATTTCCAGTTATATTTCGCTTTAAAGTACTGCAAAGGTTAATTTTTCAGAAACTCACTTTCTGCGCAACATTTAATTATTTTCATTTATAAAAAATGTGGAATAGTATTTTCAGATCTATTAAACGCTTCTTAATTCAATAGACTGTTTCGTAAACATAAACATTACTTGATTATATTTCTCGATTATAGACGACAGTGATAGTATAATTGTATTTTGTTTATACAGATTTGCAAAAGATAAGATCTGTTTTCTAGAAGAGATCCGCGTAAGATTACACTGTAGATAAATTTAACAAATTTAGACAAATAAAATGTAAAAGTAAATAATTAATAGCGAAAGTCGAGAAAATCAATTTTGAAAAATTACACACTTTATTTTTTACCTGTTATTTTTGTAAACTTGCTGAAATGTTTTACAATGATGAGTTGCAGTTACGTTAAAGTTATATATTTTTATCAAAACGCTCCAATATTGAGATGTAAACTATATATGTTACTTTGTCTATTAATATAACTTATCCATTTTAAGACAAAGAAGAAAAAAAAGAAAAGGAAGACATAATAATTCATTATACTTATAATATTTTTACATATTTTTAATAAAAAATTATTAATTTATGTACTTGTTACGGGTATCTCGCACGCGACTTTCAAATGAAGTGACAATATCGAAGGCGTCGGCAAACTCGTTTTAATAATTTATGAAAAAAGCTGTTTGAGTAATACTATAGAGAAATAACCTGATTTTCATTTTTTTTTTCGAAAAAAAAAATTAAGAAATAAAATTTCCATTACTTTGTTTTATACTATTCAATATTGCCAACTAAAATACATTTGTGCATAGTTAACGAATAATAATGACCGCAATGATGAACATTTTGCAAGATGCATGGAGCGAACGACTGCCGAGTCGAGGTGCGAAACGTTTGATCAGCATATCACTGAAATACAGGACAATGATTACTATACACCAGTGTAACTGCGAGAGTGTAAAAGCGAAGAAAGCAATACGCACTACATGATCGTAAAATTTTATTTTTGCGAAGACAAACACTTCTCGAAATTTTTTTAATTTAAAAGGAGGATGTTAAATAGGTCGATTTTGGCCCATGGTGTGGAACCAAAACTACAAATGGTTTCTTATAGATTTCATACCGTAGAATCACGTGGTAAAGTTTGTTTTCCTCTAGACAGCGGAGAAAGTACGAAAAAATTGAAATAAGACCATGAAAAATGCAATTTCTCGAGCTGGTTGAAGTTTGGAACATTCCTGGAGCAATTTTTAAAAAATGATTTGTCGCTCTTGTCCTTTTGCAGGGAGGAAGTTTCGAGACTAACAAACAAAGTACAAAAGAGACCGATCCGATACATGCGTTGAAAGACACCCTTAGCTTAGCGAGAATCATTTAAGTGATTTTGGGAGTAATTTTTCGGGTAAAAGGGTGTCTTCCGACGCATGTATCGGATGGTACTCTTTTGCATGTTGTATGAGGGCCTCAGAACTTTCTGTACGCCAAAGGAGAAGAGCGACAAGTTATTTTTTGCTAGGTGAGAATTTTTTAGGCACTCTGGGATGGTTTTTTGAGTATAAGGATGTCTTCCGACGCATGTATCGGATCGGTCTCTTTTGTATGTTATGTGAGAGCCTCAGAACTTCCTCTATGCAAAAAGAGAAAAGCAACAAATCATTTTTTTTAAATCGCTCCAGGAATGTTCCAAACTTCAACCGACTCGGGAAATTGCATTTTTTATAGCCTTTTTTCAATTTTTCCGTACTTTCCCCGCTGTCTAGAAGAAAACAAACTTTACCACGTGATTCTACGGTATGAAATCTATAAGAAACCATTTGTAGTGTTGGTTCCACACCATGGGTAAAAATCGACCTACATATATTTAACATCCTCCTTTAATACGGACAAGTAACTCATTTTGATGATATAATATATATTTTTTATTTTTACATAGCAAACTCTAATGAGTCGCCCACATACACCGAGCTTTCCAAGATCAAGGCTGTCTCAAGTCAATGTTATTAACTTATGTTTACAAGCCGCATTTTACGATAATCAACAGCGGTTGTTGAGATTCCCGACAGCTCTTTGACGATTCCTAAAGACAGTTTCTAAAATACTCCACAAAATAATATTTGTTAAAATAATTATACGCAATAAAATTTTGCACGAGATGCATCAAGTGTAACAATGATTTATTTAATTTGGTGTTTTTTTCGATACCGATGCTTTTTTATATCATAATGACTGGTTCACATAATCGGAATCCTAGGTTTCTTATTTTGGTCATAATATGAGGATTAATGCATAAATAGAATATAATATTCGTAAAAAAAGATGCAATTTTCTGTAAAAAGAGATTTTTCCGAAAAATAATCACAATAAAAATTTTTTTTAGTATGCTACCCAAAAGTGCAAGTGTAATTCAGTAAAAGCCAATATTTTTTATTTTTATAAATTTTTGATTATAATATAGTAATAAATGTATGTTAAATGGAATTTGTAATTATACAAAAAGTTCATAATATTAAATTTTGTTTGCAAATATTATTTTTTTATGTTAAGAAAAGGAAATTATATATCTATTATATGTAAATCTCAAATGCAACTTGTAAAAAATTTCGGACTAATGTACTGTCTTCGTCTCTTCTTTTTGTCCTATTGTATGTGTGATAATCGTTATAAATTAAAATTAACATCAATACCTTGCTCATAAACATGATTGCGGAAAAGATGGAATGGCATAGTTGGAAAGAAATATTTTCGCTATTTTTCTTCCAAATGTTTTATTCCATATCTAGTTCAAAACATTTTCGATGTTAAAAAATAAATTGTAAATAAAAAATAAAATTCGAATTTTCAGAACAAAGTACACCAAACTTTAGATTACATAATTGATACAATTTTGATTTTAATTTCATAAATTATTCTCTGAAGCATAGCCTGATGTAAATTGATAACACTACAACTCACAGAAATCTTTTATAAGAAGGTATTATAATTTCATGCACTTTTCTTGTGCTTGCATCACTTGCAAGTGTAATGCAGAAATAATAAAATATAACATTGTAAATTAATAAAATTGATCATTATTCAGCTGCAAGTTTATTGCAATTTTCTTAGCTTGTTTTTAATTTATAATATCTATTTATTTTAATATCTTTTTCAATTACAATTTATAATTTAAAAAAGGGTTTTTTTTTCTATCTTAACATTTTATCAAAATTTTTAAATAATGAGAAAAGATAAAACATATCAATAAAATATGTACCAATAAATTAATAATGTTTCAGCAACACAGTTTTAACGAAATTTTTATAAATTATTCAAAAATCTAATTACAAGTTAAGAATAAATAAATTTATTGCATAACATTTTTATACAACATGATAAAAAGTATAGAAGTAAATGCTCATTTTCATATTTTGGTCATCAAAATAGCAGTTGTATTTATCAATAAACTCTGCAAATTACGTACGATATCCCTATTATTTTATGTAAGTGGTAAAATATCTATTTCGTAAAAATTATTTGCTTATAAGATATGTTGTAACATGTCTTACACAAAGTTCTTATTGCCACATAAACCGAGTATGCCACCGCGTCTCTTGATATTGATTGGATAGATTTGGCTGACGTATCAATACTTACATTGAAATGATAAGCTATGCGACTTCCTTGTCTCTTCTATCGCGCACTTTTCAGTAGAAAGACTTTGATAGAAAGGATTTTATTCAGTTATCAGCCTCCTGTAAGTTGAAATGGACACAATGTCAATTAAAGTAATTACAGAAAACGTGTGGCAATATTATGTAAAGTTGTCGGATTTCAACGCAAAATGCAGGTTCTGCGGAGATAAATTTAGTTATGTGTTTGATTATCAATTCCGAGAAAGTTATATAAAAAAAAACCATGAAATAATATTTCATCACGAAGAAGCACCAAAACGACAAGAATGGCCATGGAATTTTTTTCAAATGCGTGTATTTTTCAAATACGTACCGGCCTAATACATTCGGCGAATTACGTTCAGAATGTCTTTTGTGTGGTGTAAATATTTTATCTA